GATATTTCTCAAATTTTTCATATTTCTAATTTATTCATCAAAAAGCTTATTTTTACATTATCATTATAACATTTTTTTTGAACGTCTACATTCAAAATAAATACATATATATACATATTCTATTATTTTTTTAAAAATATTTTTGATAAAAAAATTATACATGAAATAAAATTAAACAATTCATACAAAAAATCTTCTTCTTTGCCAAGGTCTTTTATATCTCACTTCCTCATGCACATTTTTTTCCAACCAAAAAAAATAAAAATACATGAGATGAAAAAAATTAAAAAAAAAAAATAATGAATAAAAGTGGTATAATAGTGTTATAAATAATAATAAATAAAATTGTAATCATATATTTTTATTCTCCATAAAAATTAGACATCTATTTATCTTTTTTTGATTTAATTCATTCATTATATATGTAATGAAAGGTAATAATAGTAAGATAATTGAGAATATTAAGAAGAGAAGTGGAAGTGGAAGAGAAGGAAATAAGAAGATAAGAAGGTAAAACAAATATTATTAGTATATATATTTATTATATTTTAAATGTAAAAATACTATATTCTCTTTTTAACTTTTAACAAAATATATTTTTTATAATTAAAATAAAAATGACAAATTTTAATGCCTAATTAATATTTAAGTGTAACATTTTATATAGTATATAGATAGATATAAATAGATAAATATAAACGTAAACCATTAATCTAAAAAAATTTTACCTTTTAATTTTTTTAATATATAAGTTTTATTAGTTGTTAGTTTAATAATCAAATAATTTTTATCTTATACTTTACTCTTTTTTTTTCAACTTCCTTAGTTATTTTTAATTTTTATTTAATCAAATTCATAGTTCTTATATCAATTATTATTTTAATAAAAAAATCATACTTTAACAATTATCTTTTTTTTTTTGTTTTTACATTAGTCATTACCAACTTTTTTTTTTATAATTACTTAACTTGTAAAATTTTGTTTTATGATTATTATTCTTGTCCCTTTTCTCATTTCCAATTTCCTATCATTTTTGTCCATTCTTATGTTATTCCTTTAACTTGTATTACAAATTATTTTAATATATTAATATAAATACTCAAATTAAAGTTACAAAAAAAATTATTTGAATGAGATTTTAATGCAATTAAATGCACATTCCCAAATATATATATAACAATAATATTGGACATATATACAATTTAGAAGGAATGTGAAATAAAATTTATATTTAAAAGA